TTTATTAGAGATAAGGTCTTGCTGAGTTGCTTAGGACCTTGCTAAATTGCTGAGGTTGGCTTTGAACTCTCAGTCCCCCTGCTTCAGCCTCACAAGCTGCTGGGATTACAGGCATACGCCATCGTGACCCGGCTTAAACTGAGAATTCTTAATCTTTTCTGTGTATTAGATCCTTGGCAGTTGGACTTCTCAATATAATGTGTATGTTTGTATATATAATATTTTTTTTTCTTTTTTGTGGGGGCTACCAGGTATTGAACTCAGGGACACTCAACCACTGAGCCACATCCCAGCCCTATTTTGTATTTTATTTAGAGACAGGGTCTCACTGAGTTGCTTAGCACCTCACAATTGGTTAGGCTGGCTTTGAACTCAAGATCCTCCTGTCTCAGCCTCATAAGCCACTGGGATTACAGGCCTGCGCCACTGCACCCAGCTCTTTTCTTTTATAATGCTGGGAATTGAAGCCAGGGCCTCATGCTTAGTAGGCAAGCATTCTACACCCCTGAGCTCCTCAGTGTAAAATTTTGAATATGTAAAACAAAATCCACAGAATTCTGTTTTAGAAGTAGGAAAAAAAAAAAAAAACCAGCTAGGTATGGTGGGGCATGCCTGTAATCCCAGCAACATGGGAGGCCAAGGCAGGAGGATCATAAGTTTGAGGACAGCCTCAGCAACATAGCAAGGATTTCAGCAATTTAGCAAGATCCTGTTTCAAAATATAAAATAAAAAGGGCTAGGGATATGGCTCAGTGGTAAAGCACCTCTGGGTTCAATTGCCCGTACAAAAAATAAAAAAAGAAAGAAAAGAAACAGAACAAATACATAGAATTACAGAAGTAACTAATGATTGAAATGATTGAAATACAGTTATCTATCTATAGGTATATAAATATATATATATATATTTGGGGGCGGGTACTGGAGATTGAGCCCAGGGATGCTTTAGCATGAGTTACACTCCCAGCCCTTTCTATTTTGAAACAGGTTCTCACTAAATTGCTCAGGCTGGCCTTGAACTTGAAATCCTCCCTCCTCAGCCTCTTCAAAATATTTTAAAAACATGTAATTTGGTAACATGTGTTTATTTATTAATGCATTTAAATAGTGAGCTCTGGCAGCAGGTTTAAAAATTATAACAATGTTGAAGTGGTGACGATGCTCTTTTGAGAGATCCGCAGCAAAGGTAAAGTGACAGGAAGCAGCTGTGATTATATATTTTTTAAAAAATACTATTCCTTGAAGACCAGCAGACTGACATTTTATATATATATATATATATATATATATGTAACTTTATTTTATTTATTTGTTTTTATGTGGTGCTGAGGATCGAACCCAGGGCCTTGCACATGCGAGGTGAGCGCTCTACCACTGAGCCATAACCCCAGCCCAGCTGTGATTATATTTATGACAAAGTTGAAAGTTTAGTTTGGGGGATTTTTGGTTTGTGTTTTGAGATAGGTCTCTGTAATGCTGTGGCTTGTCTTGAACTCCTGGGTTCAACCTCAGCCTCCCAAGTAGCTGGGACCACATTCAGATCAAAGTCACAGGTTTTACTAATTCTTTTTTTGTGTGTGGGGGGCATACCAGGAATTGAACTCAGGGTCAGTCAACCACTGAGCCACATCCCCAGCTGTATTTTGTATTTTATTTAGAGACAGGGTCTCACTGAGTTGCTTAGTGCCTCGCTTTTGCTGAGGCTGGCTTTGAACTCATAATTCTCCTGCCTCAGCCTTGTGAACTGCTGGGATTACAGGCTTGTGGCCCCGTACCCAGCTAGGTTTTACTAATTCTAATGTAGACTACCAACCCCAAACTGAAAGGAAATGCTTGCTATATGTCAGAGACAAAATAAAAGATGTAATTTTTTTTTTTCTGAGTAAGTTCACAGACTGAGAGGTTGACTATGGACCCTAGGTAAAGAATCCCTGCCCTAAACAGAGCTCTGTGGAATTGTCTGTTCTTTTTTTTTTTTTTTTTTTTATTGTTGGTTGTTCAAAACATTACATAGTTCTTGATATATCATATTTCACATTTTGATTCAAGTGGGTTATGAACTCCCATTTTTACCCCGTGTACAGATTGCAGAATCACATTGGTTACAGAATTGTCTGTTCTTGACATAGAAATTGCTGCTCTATAGAGCTGGGGTTTAGCTCAGTAGCAGAGGGCATGCTTAGCAAGTGTGAAGCCCTGGGTTTGATCCCCAGAATGGGGTGGGGGTGGGGAAGGTACCTGCTTTGAGGAGTGAGGACTATGTGGTCAGATCAGGGCAAGAAAGGCTGTGCCCTTGACCCCTTGTGGAGACCCACAAGAGCCCTCTTAGCATCTGAAAGCTTTGGAGAGGCCAGCTGTAGAAATGATGGATTCCACTTTGTCTAACCAGAGTTTCCCAGGAACCTGGGAAAGCATTTTTCTTCTCAGGAGTGACAAACCCAGTCCCCCCTGGAGCTTGCTGTGGGATCCCTGGGCTGCTGCCCTCTGGAAGTCATTCCTCCTCATCCCTCTAATGCACAGGCTTCAAAGCCAGGCCACAGGCTTGTGTACCTTGGCTCCTGTCCTCTTTCATAAAAACAAATTAATTGCTGACATTTGAAGAGATGAGATTGCATAGAAAAGTAACCTGAATTTCTAGCTCTTCCTGCAAAACTGGAAGATCTGGCCAAAAGGGACTGGAACTGTAGGTGGGCAAGGTGCTCACGGGTGGATTCGCTGCAGTCCACCCCATACCTTCCCGGACTGCCCCGTTTTATTAACTGATCTTCTTTAGCCCCGACGTGGCCTGCAGTAACTTTTGTTTGAAGTCCATGGAGACAGAACGTGGAGAATGATTGATTGCTAAGCCATGGCGGGGCGGGGGATACAGGGAGGAACCAGGGAAGGATCTGGAGGGAGATGCCAGGAAGTTTGCTCAGTCTGCTCGGAGTGTGGGGTCCAGGGGGTTGGACCTCGGGGCGTGGGCCTCAGTGCGAATGCCTGCCTTCGAGGAGGGGAAGAGGTGACATGGATGTGTGTCCTTCTCCCCTGCAGATGTTTATCATTGACAAGGTGGACGGGGACCTGTGCCAGCTAAACGAGTTCTCCATCACTGGCTCCACTTATGCTCCCGAGGGAGAGGTGTAAGTCACCAGGAGTCCCCAGCGCCCCTGTCTGCCCCCACCTCAGTTCTTGCCCTCCTCTCTCTCTTCCCTTCCTTTCCCTCCCGTTCTCCCTCCCAGCCCATCTCTGATCTCCAAGTTCACTGCCATCTCCCTGAGCCCTGCTCTCTGCGTCTCACTCCGGGTTCTTCTCCACTGTCTCTCTCCCTCCTTCCTCCCCACCCTGCTGCCAGCATGAAGAACGATAAGCCAATCCGGTCAGGGCAGTATGATGGGTTGGTGGAGCTGGCCACCATCTGTGCCCTCTGCAATGACTCATCCTTGGACTTTAATGAGGTAACCTCCCCACCCCCAAAGCGGCCCCTTCTTCCCTTCCAGCTGGCTCGGAGTCTGGGCCTCCTGAGCAGGCCCAGAGGGAGGGTCACAGGAAGGGGCAGGGAGCTGAGGCCACTGCCCCAGGGTTCGAGGGAAAGGAGTTCTTGGCTCCCTTCTCACTCCGTCCAAGTGGAAGGTGGGTGTGATGGTGGGGGCCAGGGCACCCACTTCCTCTTCCTCTTCTGCCCACCTCAGACCAAAGGTGTCTATGAGAAGGTGGGGGAGGCCACGGAGACAGCGCTCACCACGCTGGTGGAGAAGATGAACGTGTTCAACACGGACGTGAGAAGCCTCTCCAAGGTGGAGAGGGCCAATGCCTGCAACTCAGTGAGTCTGGACACCCCTCCCTGGGCCTTCGCTTCATGTCACACAGCCCCAAGCAGCCCCGGGCCAGGCACCCCGTGCTGGGACCCCAACTCTCGCAGGTGGACCTGCTGCTCTTCAGGGGAACCCACTGTCCCTGCAGTTAAATGGGTTTTTCTTCTGCCTGGCCACAGTGCCCTGGAAGGTCACTTCTTACAGTCATGTCCCAAGCTGAAATGGACAGAGGTGGATACAGACACCACATGGCCCATCCTGGCCAGCCCCCATTTCAAGCCTGATCCCTTTGTCTCTAGGAGCATACTCGTCCCATCAGATCTCAGGTCCTGATTTAGAACTGGGCATATGTGGCCATTGCACCTACAGGCCAGGACCATCCTTGTCCAGATGACCAAGGCCAATTCCGTTACACTCACTCGGAGCTCTTGCTATTAATATTGGCTGAATTTCCATATTGAGTCTCTTGAGGTGTTATTTTCCTACATCTCTCTCTCTCTTTTGTACCAGGGACTGAACCTAGGGACCCCTGAGCCACATCCCCAGCCCTTTTTTGTCTTTTATTTAGAGATCGGGTCTTGCTGAGTTATTTAGTGCCTCACTAAGTTGCTGAGGCTGGCTTTGAACTCGTGATCCTCCTGCCTCAGCCTCTTGAGCTGCTGGGATTACTGGCATGTGCCATTGCACACAGCTTCCTACATTTCTTCTGCCATTTCTTCATGAGGTGCTGGAGACTGAACCCGGGAACCTGAGCATCCTAGGCAAAGTTCCCCGCCATGTGCAAAATCTCATTGCCATTTTATTTAATCTAATTTTTTAAAAAAGTAAAAACAATCTAGGTCTATTGAAGATGATGATGATGATGATGATTTGGTACATGGGATGGAACCCAGGCATGCTCTGTCACTGAGTTATTCTCCCAGCCCTCATGTTTTGAGTCAGGGTCTCACTAAGTCACCCAGGCTGGCCTTGAACTTGTGATCCCATCTCAGTCTCCCAAGTCACTAGGATTACTGGCGTACAACACACACCCAGCCAGGGAAGCTTAATTTTAAAGATTTACAAATGATGATATAAATTCATTTTTACTTCATTTTTTGTTATTTTGACTTTTCTCTTATTTTTGGAGAGGTAGCCATGTGTATTTGGTAAAAAAAAAAAGCTTTCATTCATTTTTTTAAATTAAATATTTATTTTTTAGTTGTAGTTGGACACAAAACCTTTATTTTGCTTATTTATTTTTATGTGGTGCTGAGGATCAAACCCAGGGCCTCGCACGTTCTACGCAACCGCTCTACCGCTGAGCCCCAGCCCCAGCCCCCTTTCACTCATTTTTGAGGAGTGCTTTTTTCTGCATGCCAGGTATGAGGCCTAACCAACAATACATGCAATTATTTACATTTGAATTAATTAAAATTAAACAAAGATGAAAATGCAGTTTTTCAGTCACATTGACCTCATTCCCAGTGCTCAGTGGCCATGGCTCACCTGCTTGAACAGTGCGGACTGCCGATCTCTGTCACCTCTCAGAGTCCTGTTGGACCATACCACACAAGACCATCTTGTTTCTGTTGTGCTTTAAACCAGTCACTGTAACACTATGGCAGCATTAGCCTTGGAATTCTTTCCATTTGTACTTCAGGTATCAGCCTTAGCATTAGTCTGGGGGTCCACTGTGACCTCCAAACCCTTTTTAACTGTGTTAAGGGGCCTGGTCTCCTCTTTCCCAGGTGATCCGCCAGCTGATGAAGAAGGAATTCACCCTGGAGTTCTCCCGGGACAGAAAGTCCATGTCTGTCTACTGCTCACCGGCCAAGTCTTCCCGGGCTGCTGTGGGCAACAAGATGTTCGTCAAGGTCAGAAATTGGAATGTATTCCCACCCCTCTCCTTCTAATCCTGCCCCCTCTCCTGTGCCCAACCCCTCTCACTGTGTCCTGGCGGGCAGGCAGTGGTCTCTGAACGCTGTTCTGGTCTCCTAGGGTGCCCCTGAGGGCGTCATTGACCGCTGTAACTATGTGCGAGTTGGCACCACCCGGGTGCCCCTGACTGGCCCCGTGAAGGAGAAGATCATGTCGGTCATCAAGGAGTGGGGCACTGGCCGGGACACCCTGCGCTGCCTGGCCCTGGCCACCCGGGATACCCCTCCCAAGAAAGAGGAGATGATCCTAGATGATTCTTCCAGGTTCATGGAGTATGAGGTGAGTGGGGGAAGGCTCCGTTGTCCTAGACGTCACCAAGAGGCTGATTTCCCACTGCCTGCCTCCCTGCACCCTCTCATCTCAAACCGGTGGCTCTGTACGGGTCACGAAATCACAGGACACTAGTCTTCAAAAGAGCCCTAGAAAGCATCCAGTCCAGTGCTGCTCTATTTTATTGACCTGTGGTGCTGGGGATGGAACCGGGGCCTTACACATGCTAAGAACATACCGTGGCTGAGCTGCTCCCCAGCCTCCTGGGCTACGTTAAGTGTGACCAGTGGATGGTCTGCGACCAGGGGAGGGAGGCTCTCGCCCCAGGGGGGGAATCAGTGTCACTGCATGGAGGGGCTCGCTCATGGGCCTTCCATAACCAGGATGTCTCAAGGTGGGCATGAGCATTCTGGTGTAGGCCCCGTATTAGTCGTGGACTCTGAATGGCACCAAAAGCCCACTGCCTTCGTTTCACGGAGGGAGACTGAGGCCTGGCAGGTCACAGGGATGTGCTGGAAGTTGTGGGTCAAGAGGTGGCCCTGCTGATAGCAGAAGCCACTTGCTCTTACCTCTAGCATGTATTCTGTGAAGGGCACAGGGTGGCACTGTGGCTGGCCTGGCACTGCGAGGACCTGCAGGGACATGTAGGAATGAGAAATGTTTCTTGTCCCTGCTGAGGTCCAACACCAGGGCCTCCTCAAATTTTCCCCCCGCCTGGCTCGTGTCCGAGTCCCTCCCTGACCGCCGTCCGCTCTTTCCCAGACGGACCTGACGTTCGTGGGGGTGGTGGGCATGTTGGACCCGCCCCGCAAGGAGGTCACAGGCTCCATCCAGCTGTGCCGCGACGCTGGGATCCGTGTGATCATGATCACCGGAGACAACAAGGGCACGGCCATTGCCATCTGCCGACGGATCGGCATCTTCTCGGAGAGCGAGCAGGTGACGGACCGTGCCTACACGGGGCGCGAGTTCGACGACCTGCCCCTGGCTGAGCAGCGGGAAGCCTGCCGTCGCGCCTGCTGCTTCGCCCGCGTGGAGCCCTCCCACAAGTCCAAGATCGTGGAGTACCTGCAGTCCTACGACGAGATCACAGCCATGGTGAGGGCCCCGAGTGTCCACGGAGTCCGGCGCATGGGCGGGAGGACCCAAGCTCTGGGGGGAGAACCTCAAGGAGGGGTGTGGAAGGGGCCCTGAGCCCCCCTCTTTCTCCCCTCAGACAGGGGACGGTGTCAATGACGCCCCTGCCCTGAAGAAGGCCGAGATCGGCATCGCCATGGGCTCTGGCACGGCGGTGGCCAAGACGGCCTCTGAGATGGTGCTGGCCGACGACAACTTCTCCACCATCGTGGCGGCCGTGGAGGAGGGCCGCGCCATCTACAACAACATGAAGCAGTTCATCCGCTACCTCATCTCCTCCAACGTGGGCGAGGTGGTCTGGTGAGCGCCAGGGCCCGGTGGCGGGGCGGGTGGCGGGGCCTGGACAGGTGTGTGACCACCTCCTTCTGGCAGCATCTTCCTGACAGCCGCCCTGGGGCTGCCTGAGGCCCTGATCCCCGTGCAGCTGCTGTGGGTGAACCTAGTGACCGACGGGCTCCCGGCCACGGCCCTGGGCTTCAACCCCCCAGACCTGGACATCATGGACCGGCCCCCCCGGAGCCCCAAGGAGCCCCTCATCAGCGGGTGGCTCTTCTTCCGCTACATGGCCATCGGGGGTAAGCAAGATGGGGCCCCACCGTCCTTCCCAGCCCTTGGGACTGACCCCCTCCTCAGGACACCAGCTGCCCCAGTGCAGCCCCCCAGTTGGTCCTCTCCCTCACCCAGCTGTTACCAGTCTGGAAGGCCCTCCCGCGCTGGCCACCTCCTGGCCCTGACCCCTCCCCATCTTCCCACACAGGCTACGTGGGTGCAGCCACTGTGGGAGCAGCTGCCTGGTGGTTCCTGTATGCAGACGACGGGCCTCATGTCACCTACAACCAGCTGGTAAGAGGGGACAGAGAGCTGGGCCCTAGGAGGGTGGTGTAGAGGCCTCCACGGGACCTCAGGCTCCTGTCCCCTCCTCTGCAGACCCACTTCATGCAGTGCACGGAGCACAACCCTGACTTTGATGGCCTCGACTGTGAGGTCTTTGAGGCCCCCGAGCCCATGACCATGGCCTTGTCCGTGCTGGTCACCATCGAGATGTGCAACGCTCTCAACAGGTAGGGCCTCCTGCCCGCCCCAGTGCCATGTGGGGCCAGCGCCTGGGCCTCCACCCCCTGCCCTCCTCTCCTCACGGTCTCTCTCTGTGTCCCCCTCTGTGGCTCCGCTCGGCCCTTGCTGCAGCCTGTCTGAGAATCAGTCCCTGCTGCGGATGCCGCCCTGGGTGAACATCTGGCTGCTGGGCTCCATCTGCCTGTCCATGTCCCTCCACTTCCTCATCCTCTATGTTGACCCTCTGCCGGTGAGCCCCCTTCTGCCACCTGTCCCCCAGCCCCGGGGAGCCCACACAGGGCCTGTGGCTACTTGCACTAGAGGTGCTGACGAGAAGGTGGGACTGGCCGAGATGGTGCCTGGCCCCCTGCTCCCTCTCCACCTCCTCCCAAGAGGACACCTGCTTTCCTCACGGCTGCCGTCCCCACCCCCAGATGATCTTCAAGCTGAGGGCCCTGGACGTCACCCAGTGGCTCATGGTCTTCAAGATCTCCCTTCCGGTCATCGGGCTGGACGAAATCCTCAAGTTCATTGCTCGGAACTACCTAGAGGGTAAGGAGCGCCCCTCCTCTGGCCCCGGGAGCCCCAGGCCCTGAGCGCACCCGTTGCCCTCCGCGCGGCGAAGCGCGCCCGCCCCGCCCTCTTCCTTTGCAGGTGGTAAGTTCTCTGTGGCCCTGGTAGGACCAGTGTCCCCAGGCAGGGGCGCCCAGGCCCCTTCTCTACTCCAGCCGCTCCAGGCAGGGTCACTCTCCTGGGTGGCCCCCAGCCCGCTCAGCCCTCTTGGCCCGCAGGCCACCTCCCTCCTTGACACCAGCTCTCTCTGTCCTCTTGGCCATAGGATAACCGTCCCCCTCCTCCATGTCTTTGAACCCGTGTCACAGGTATCACCCTCCCTCCCTGCCCTCGCGCCAGCTGCTGCGCCCCGCCGCCTGCCCCTAGCCGCCCGCGCATCCCAGGTCACTTGCGCTCGCAGCTCCACCTGGAGCCACTGCCATTGCTGCCACTGCCGCGCTTCCACACGGCTGGTCTCTGCCCTCGCGGTGGCCCCAGCACCGCTGCCAGGGCCCGGGCACCCTGGTGGTGCCCAGCCTCCGGGCACCACTGTCCGCTGGGCTGCGCTGCGTGGCGCTGGCTGCCTCTGCTGCTGGGGCTGTGGGTGGGAGGGTCCGGAGCTGGGGACACAGGTAAGTGCAGGGAGGAAAGGGGCCGCGGTGACCTCCAGGCTGTGCGCCAGCAGACGGGCACTGGGAGGGACCCCTCTCCCCACCCCACATGCTCCATCCCTCCCCTTCTCCTTCCAGATCCAGAAGATGAGAGAAGGAAGTAACGTCCGCTGCCCCTTCCTCCCTGATAGCGACGCATCTTCACCAGGGCTGTGGCACCAACTCCTCCCAACCCGACATGTTTCTGTTTATAAACACAACATCCCCTCCCCCGCAACCTGTCCTCCCTCCCCACCCTGGAAATCCTCCCCTCCCAACCCCGTGGGGCTTGCAGGGACAAGGCGACCGACTGAGCTGAGCTGCTTATTTATTGAAAATAAATGACAGAAAATTCTGGCCTCGCCTCCGTGCACGTCTCGAGGCCTGCGTCAGGCCCCGTGGACAAGCGTCTTAGTGTCATGCGTCCAGAAAGCAGCTGCCTGTCTCAGGGTGTGCATGAGGGACCCACTGATGCTGACAGAGGCTGCCAGCCACCACACAGCTCGGCTGTGCCTCGGGACAGACGGGGACGGACTGTGCCAGCGTGGCTGTTGGCCAGCGGGGGCGCTGGAGGCAGCACGGCAGCCAGAGAGCCGCAGGGTTCAGCCTGCCCTTTGGTTCCAGGAGGGGGCGGTGTCATCCCTGAGAGCAGAAGGCCCAGCCACTCTGGGAGGAGGCGCTGGGCAGTGGTGGCCCTGGCACCCCAATCCCAAGCTTGGAGAGGGTGAGAGCTCCGTCCTGACACCCCAAAGCCCAGGCCTCAGGGTCTGGACTGGAGGAAGGCAGTCTTCCCCAGGGGGGGTGGAAGCGGGGAGCGATGGTTCTCGCCGGGCCCCTCAGGTGTCCTTGATGTCCCTCACATCCTTGAGGGATCCCTCATCCAGGATGCAGCGCACCTGCTCCAGAGTCCCAGCCTGGCGGATCCGCTCTAGGCGCACCTGGGGAATCAGGCAAGGGACGCAGAAGTCCCTGGTAGGGAAACAGCTCCTACCCCACCTGCCAACCCCCAGTGGCAGGGCCCAGGACCAGTGCACCTAGGGGCACCCCGCCCCCCTGAGCCCCCGCTGCCACCAGGGGAAAGGGAAAGAACGGGTCCTAGGACAGCTCGAGGAAGCCCAAGCTGCCACTGGTGGTGCTGATGGCACAGACCCTCCGTGCCACCAAGCCTGTGCTAAGGGCATCCTGGGATCGACACAAGATATACCCAAAGAGCTTCAGCTTTGGGGGCAATAATTCAGGGCTACATACCATGCCAGCCCTGGGCGGAGGATGGGGACTCCCCCAATTGAGGGACTGTCCTCACAAGACACAAGGCAAGTCACTGAAAACCACACCAGTATGGGGGGGTGGGGGCGACATACCTGCAGGGCCTGGGACAGTCGCACGAAGTCCCTCTGCACCTGTTCGCTGGTCTCCAGCTCAGCCTGCAGCCGCAGCACCTTGGCCCTCTGCTCTGAGAGGAGGTCTTTGAGCTGGGCCTGTGGGGACAAGACGCTGAGTTAGGGCCTGGCTCAGCCTTGGGCCAGCCAGGAGGGGGTGTGGCCAAGCACCGAGATGTCCCCACATAGTCACCCCTTCCACACCAGCTGACTCTGACCTCTTCTGTCCGGCCAGAGCCTGGCTGTTGCAGGAGGCCTTCCTGGCGCTGGGCCTGAAGGAGACAGAGGACAGGAGGGGCCTGCTAGGCCTTCTCTGCACAGTGCGGTCCCTCACACCCTGGTCTGCTCCCTGGGCTCTGCCTCACCTGGCTCTGTTCCTGCTGGATCCGGTCCATCTCGGTCCTCAGGCTACACAGGGAGGCTGGGAAGTCAGGCGCAAGGAGGCTGCAAGTCAGGCCCCCACTGGTTCCTTCCCCACCGGCCAGCCCCGGCCAGGGCGCCTCCCATACTCACCCTCTAACACCTCTGTTGGGGTGGGGGGAGGAGAGAAAGAAGAGTTTGTGGAGGCTTGTCCTCCCACGTCTCCCCTCCTCTGCCCAGGTGGCCCCACCGGAGGTCAGGCGCCTGGCGGCAGGGGAGCTGGCTGGGCCCTCACCTGTCTCCTCCCGCTGCACCCGCAGCTGCCCCTCCAGGCTGGCCCTGGCCGCCGTCTCCTCCTCCAGGGCCTCCCGCAGAGTAACGATCTCAATCCGCAGGCGCTCGGCCTCGTGCTCCCGGGCCTGCAGCCGGGCGCGCGCCTCCTGCCGCGTGCGGTGCAGCAGCTGCTGCAGCTCCTGGAAGGGACGCGAGTGGCCCGCTGGGCATTGGGCAGAAGAGCAGGAGGGCAGGGGCCGGCGGGGCCGCTGGCCAGAGCGGGATTGCGGGGAGGAAGCGGAAGGAAGGAAACTGCCCCAACAGGAAAGAACCCAAATGCCAGGTGGGAGGGCGCATAACACCCCAAGGCACCGCGCCCACCGCACAGCGCAGGGACTCAGAAATGGGGCGGGGCCGGAGTTCCAGAGGACCAAGAGACCCCTGGGTCAAGCCCCCAAGCAACAGAGTCCAGCCCTCCGTTATTTATGGACTGAAAAGTAAACCAAAGAAGAACGAGAGGAGGAAACAGGGCCCAGGAAATGGGCACCGCAGAAGTGGATGTGCGCTGTAACCGCCAGGTAGGGACAGGTCCGGGGATCTTTGCATTTTGAATAAATTACATTATTCATAAATTACATCAGCAAAGGCCATGCGCAGATCAATGATGAGGGCTTATGAACCAAAGATCACGATGAATTCAGTTTAAGGATCTCAGGTCTCTTAAAAACAGGAAACAAACCAAATTGTTGCCTCCTGGGTCAGGAATTGTTAACTCTTCTTCATGTCAATGCTGGGAAGCCACTATGGTCCCATTTCTCAGATGAGGAAACCGAGCCTTAAAGAGGTCAAGTGGGTTGGCCAAGGCAAAGCAGCCAAAACAGCAGCCAGGGTCTGTCCCCGGGGTCCCCAGATGCTCTGCTCTGCCTGGAAAGGAAGGGCCCACAGGTTGCCCAGGGCTCTTGGTGCCCACACCCTGCTCACCTGCACGGAGCTGGGCAGTGACTCGTCCTCGCCCTCCAGCTGCTCCAGGCTCTGGGGGGCTGAAGAGGGCAAATGCTCAGCCCGGAGCCCCTGGTTTTCCTCATTCAGCCGCTTTACCTCCTGGTGCAGGCACTTGTGAGAGGTGGCCAGTTCTGCCTGGGGACAAACATGGCAGTGAGGAGGGCAGGCTGGCTCCTGATGTGCTGAGGCAGGAAGACGCCCCCTTACTGCTTGGCTTTGGCTCCAGGCTCTAGACACCCTCCTGTTGACCTGGAGCACAGGTGGGCAGCTGCACTCCATGCTGGGCCTTACTTGGTCCACACTGTTTCTAAAACCCTCAAGTCGCTGCCAACTTTGAAAATTGGGAGCTGATACACAGGTATGGGGATTTCTGGCTTCTCTTGAAAAATCAGAATGTCTAGCTGCAGGGAGCTGGCACTCCAGGCAGGAAGGATCTGAGTAACTGAGCAGTCGTCCCCTCAGCACCCCTCCTCCTGGGCCAGGCCACCACCACACCTTCCTACCAGGCACCTGGTGCCATCTGATCCCTTCCCCGTCCTCTGGCCTCGGTAATCACGGGGCTTGTTTTCCATTTCACAATCCGCAATCCAGGCCTCATTATCTCGACCTCACAGAGGGTGAAGCAGAGGCCCTGGGGTCGCAGGTTAGTTCAAGATCACAAGAGCGCTGGCTATGGCTGGGCGGCCCCCAAACCCTTTACCTACCTGGCACCAATGCCTGGGGAGGCCAGAGCAGCCGGAGGAGGAACAGGTGCCCCAAGTAGCCTGACCCCGCTTCCTCCTGCCACACGTCCCCAGCACTCACCATCTGCAGCTGCACCCGCTCCTGGGCCTGGCTCACGGTCCCCTGCAGGGTCCGAAGCAGCTGCTCTGAGTTCTGGACCTGGGCCAGGAGCACCTGCATCTGGGGGTGGAAGGAGGGCATCAGTGAGGTCAGGGCCACCTGGGGGCAGCAGGTGGCCAGAGGCCCTCTGAGGGCAACAGCAGAGGCTGGGACCCACCTGCTTGGCGCAGTCCTCGGTGCTCCTTCTCAGGCCCTCCTGCAGTTCATCCCGCTCGCGGCTGACGCTCTCCAGGTCCTTCTGCAGTTGCCGGCCCTGCCAGAGGCCCAGACCTGTCTCAGTCTCCAAGGGAGGCCATCCCTCTCCGGCAGGCATGGTGCCATCGTCCCCTGGACCCCTCAAGCCAGATGCTCAGGGACGACTCTTCCCTCGCAGGCCCCGCCCACTCTTCCTCCAGCCTGGATTCCAGCCCCACCCACTTTTCCTGTCTCTGCTGCCATCTCCTGGTCCAGTCCCTGCTTTCTCCTAAGCCACAGTCCCAACCAGTCCTGGTCATCCAGCTGCTCCCCAGCCCCCCACAGCCCACACTACACACAGGCCCAAGGGGCTCCCCAGGCAGGAAGCCAGACAGGCCTTCCCTGGCTGGGCCTGGCGCTTCCTCCTGGCCTGTGTGAAGTGCAGGCTCCGCTGGCCGGTCACAGCCCCTGCCTCCTTCCTGACCTCTCTCCTGGCGGGCCTTCCTGCCGTCAGTCAGCAGGGCCTGCTCATCCTCAGGGCCTTAGAACTCGAAGCCCCACTGCCCCTGCCCCTGCAAAGTGCCACTTTGCCACCATCTGGGTCTCAGGTCCCACACTGACAGTTTCTGCCCCACCGCCCTCTTCCGTTGTGTCCTGGACGACTCGCCCTGTGACCTTATCCACTTTGTGTGTCCACGTGTGCTGGTGTCTGACTCCCGCTCCCTAGGGGACGGTGCCTCCTTCCTCGTGGCGTTCCCCACTCTAGCTCTAGCTCGGGGCCTGGGTCAGGGTGGCATGCTGCCACAGGCCACCTGCCCTGTCCACCCGATCCACACACCTCGGCCTGCAGCTGCTCCCACTGATTGTCTGGGACCAGCTGGTACCCAGGAGGGGGCAGGTAGATGCCCTCAGGGACCAGGGTGCCCGTGGACACCAGGGAGGCCGTCTCTTCCTGCTCGGGGCTCAGGCCCTGGCGGCTGCGGGGCAGGGAGGCGCTGCTGCCAGCTCCGCCGAGGGAGAAGGAGGAGATGGAGGCGCTGTCGTCACAGTTGTGGGCGAAGGCCTCGGCGGCTGGGCCCCCATCGCCACTCGGCTCCTCCAGGGGCTCCAGGGGCGGAGATGGGTTCCGGGACAGCGGCAGCAACTCCGTGGAGCCGTGCAGGGAAGGGGGGTGCCGGGGACGTCTCTAGGGAAAGGTGCAGGAAAGAGGCTGGGGAGCCGGCTCCTGGGCGCCCCTTCCCGGCCCCACGCCCCCGGCCGCCCCTCACCTGGATCTCTTGAATCAGCTCCTCCGCCTTCAGAAGCTTTGCCTTGAGCTCCTCGATCTCCTGCTCCATGGGCAGCACAATCTCTCGCAGCTTCTCAGAGTCCTCGTGGGCCTGGGGGACGTCAGGAGGTGAGTGGGCAGGACAGCACCGGGCAGCCCCTGGGCCCCTCAGTTCTGTTCAAGGTTCCTCTGAGCGCTTCGGGGCAGGAGGTAGGTAAAAGGGTCAAGGTCCTGACTATCTTCCTGTTGCCCACTTCCTCTCCAACATCTTTTTTTTTTTTTAACCCTAAAACTTCTTAAATCGAGCACTTGGCGTAACTTCTGCCACACCATCTATATTTCTCAGCTTTCCTATAACACGATCCTATGACTCAGTTCCAGCTAATGCGGTGTAAGCAGATGTGCCACATGTGAACTTCCAGGGCAACTCCTTAAAGGAACAGGAGGATATGTCTTTCTGTACTTCTTCTTGCTGGCTGAAATGTGGATGTGATGGCAGCCACTCAATGAGTCATCTTGGGCCATGAGGCAATTTGCTCTCTATGGCAAAATAGCAATGTAGGAGGAGCCTGGCTTCCTAATGACTTATTGAGCTGCTACCCCAGTCTGGACTTTAAGAAAAATAAACTTCTATTTAAGCCATTGCTGAACTGGATCTTCAATTACATGCAGACAAACCTCATCCTAACCTAACTGATATGTCCTCCCACACTCCCAACACGACCCTAAGGGTGATTATTTCTTTTCTGTTCCTGCTGAGCTTGCAGAGCAAGAGCCCCTGCATGTGTCCACTTGGCTTCTCTAACCTAATCAACCAAAACTGGGCCATATCACCAATGCAGTTCCTCCCGCCACAAGTGCCAGGTCACTGAGAATGGCCCTGTCATCCACCCAGGTGTTCAAGGCAGAAATTGGCCAGTCATCCTTTCTGTTACCACCGTCTTCCAATTCATCCAGTTCTTCTTCCCCCCCCCCCCCCCAGTGCTGAAGATTGACCCCAGGGCCTTGTGCATGCTAGGCTCTATCATTAAGCTATATCCCCAGCCTTTTTGAGTTCTTTGTTTTTGTTTTAATCTTGAGATAGGATCTTGCTAAGTTGCTGAGGCTAGCCTCAGATTTGTGATCCTCCTGCCTCAGCCTCCCAAGTCTCAGGGGTTACAGGTAAGCACCACCATGCCATCTATCTCTTGAATCACTTTTCCACATAAGCTCAATTTAACCCTCCAAATCTCTTATAGGAACAGCTGCAATGGGCAGTATAAACCTGTGTGGTCAGAACAAAACACCCCAATCTCATCTGCAGCCCTCGAATATACTCTGCAGATGCCTAAGCAACAGACAGTGATGGCTGAACACAGGGGTTGCCCAAACTAGCCCCTGCCTGACTGCAGACCGGACTGCCTTCCTCCATAGGAGGTGGCTGTCACTGAGCGAGATCCTCCTCCTTACCATTCTGCAAATGTTCCCCGAGAAACACTGGATGCAAGTAGCAGCCTCTGCCGGAAGCTGAGGAGTAGAGGGAGGCTTTCCTTTCTGGGCTCCTGTTTTGACCTTTGTCTTTCTAACTGGGCAGTTCCCTCCATCTCCCCAAGCCTCAGCTTCCTGGAGCATGAAATGAGGTATTAACTGAGTACCTCACAGGGCTACTGTGTGGATCAAACAAGGCAGCGGTATAAATTCACTTTGAAAGATGAAACATTTGAAAATATGTGCTTCCTATTGTTGTTTTTAGGTGTGTGTGTGTGTGTGTGTTTACGTGGTGCTGGAGATTGAACCCTGGGCTTTGCACATGCTAAGCAAGTGCTCTACCTCTGAGCTACATCCCCAGCCCAATGTGTGTGTGTGTGTGTGTATACAAACATACACACACATACAAATTAAACATATATACAGATAGATATGTTTTTTTTTGTTTTGAAGAGACAAGGTTCTCCAAGCTGGCCTCAAACTCCTAGGCTCAAGCCATCCTCCAGCCTCAGCCTCCTGACTGGCTGGAGCTACACTCAGCTCACTATCTTTGTTTAATGATAACAACAATAATAAAGGAGGCTAGGTACCATAGAGTTAAGAACAAAACTTCAGAACCTCACTGCTTGGACTGGTAGATGCCAACTCCGCTTCTTTATATCTGCAAAAGCTGGGAGCATCACTGAGTCCCCCTGAGCCTCCCCTTACCTGCTCAATGGACCTGATGGTCCTGCCTCACAGGTGGGCAAAGACTGGAGGCCCCAGCTCTGCCCAGCACCAAGCACCCAGCGCCTGGTGCATGAGAGGTTCCCTGAAGTGTTAGTTCCCTCCCCCTTTCATGGCTGATCTGGCTTTGGAGGTAACGAAGTCGTCACCCCACCAGCACAGGGCAAGCCAGGACTGTGCCAAGGGGTCAGCAGTCTGCGGTGCCCTGTGCTCCGCCCGGAGTCATCGCTCCGCATCCTGCGCCAGTGACTGTGGACGGGCACCTCAGTGATTCCCACCCAACACCTTCCCGAGGCCCAGGGGGAGCACAGGCCACTCTGACCCCAACCTTTTCCATCTGCTTCTCCAAGGAGTCCAGGGGGTGGGCCCGGGCCAGCAGCTGCTTCAGTTGGCCCAGCTCTCGCTCCTTCTCCTCAGAGTCCTGCTGCTGCTGCTGCCGCTCCTGCTTCAGGGACGTGATCTGGGCTTCATAGCTGCTGATGGAGTCTGCGGGGGGAAGGGTGGCGCTCTCAATGCGCTGCCTTCCTCTGGAAGGCCATCTACCACGGTAGGCACCACAGGGCTCTGCACACAGAGCTGGGCCGGCCTCGGCCTCTGTGTGTCTTAGCATCCCCAGCAACAAAACGGGGTGCTGCTGACCCACTGCTGGTTACAGGACCAAGTGAGATGACATGGGTAAGGTGCTCAGCCCTCTCCCTGGCACACGACAGGGACCAATGGCCAATCTGTCTCTCAGATGTATTTGATTAAAGACCTGGTCCCTGACATTTATACTAAAACCGAAAGTCAAACACCATTTTAGTTAGCAGGAAACGATTCTGATATATGCAGTATTGATTGATTGATAGATAGATAGATTTTTTAAAATCAGGGGCACTCGACCACTGAACCCCATCCCCAGGCCTACTTTGTATTTTATTTAGAGACAGGATCTCACTGAATTGCTTAGCACTTTGGGGTTGCTGAGGCTGACTTTGAACTCACGATCCTCCTGCCTCAACCTCCCATGCCACTGGGAGGCATGGAGCCACTGCGCCTGGCTGCAGTATTTCTCTTGATGTGGACTAATTTTAGAAGTAAAGGCTCAGTCACCACACTGCCTGGGTTTATACTGGAAGCATTATGTCCAAATCAATTGTACCACATAAATTCACCAAGAAGTGACAGGACAGAGAAGCTGGCATCGTGACAGCTAATCTGGGCATACTCAGAGTGAAGGAGGGACTGAAGGTGATACGCAGCCCGTGAATCAGGGTGGGTGGCACAACCAGACAGAATGGTTGCCAACAATTTCCAGATAACCAACAGCTGGTTGATGGGTAGGATCTAAGATACCAGAAACCTTTATTTTGTGCTCTGGAGCACAGTGTGATGATACTTGCTTTTGTGGTCAAAACAGGACTGGATTTGCAAGAAATTCTCTGGGCCACCAAGCTGTTTTGGATACAGTTCAAAGTAATGCTTGGATACTTCACGATGGAAACTGTATATGCTGACAACAGGATGGGCCAGAATTTCTGTTAAAGCAGTAATTACCATCTCTGTAACTTCTACAGGGGCACACTGTTCAGATACAGAATCACTGGGAGAATTTGAAGAATCTGATCTTCAGAGATAAACTGTCCAACTGATCCTATAATAGACTCTGAAAACACAACCGCGATTCCTATTAATATGTATCAGTACAACAAATATTTTAGGGTTTTTGGTTTGGGGTGGATTAAACCCAGGGGTGCTCTACCACTGAGCTATGTCCAGGTAACAGGGCCAGCGGGAGCAGAGGCCCAGAGGTGGAAAGTGGCGAATGTGTCTGGGCACAGCGGCATGTTAGAAAAGCCCAAGTGAAGGCTCCTGAGGAGAGATGCTGGGAAGGGTGGAGGGGGTGGCAGTGCATGGCTCCCGAGGCCTTGAATGCCACACCAAGAGGTTTGGAATTTACACTACAGGTCTGTGGCACTAACAGTAGGTAGAACAAAAACATTTTCTATCGGCACAGACGTTTATTTATCTTAATGTGTACTAATGTTAGGAGTAAAGGTTCAGTTGCCAGATTACCTGCCAAATCTGCTCCTGTCTAGCTGTGTGACCTTGGGCAAGTTATTTAAACTCTCTAGGACTCAGAGTTCCCTCTGTCAAATGGAGTTGGATAATAGTTCCTACCTCATAGTTTGTTATGAAGATGAAATACTCATAAAATATTTAGCTTTGTGCCTGGCATATATAAGTGCTCAATAAAAGCTATTGTTATTATTTGAGACACACCTTTTTATTTTTTATAGAGATAAGAAGCTTCCTTTAATACATGTATGTAAGCTTTTAAAAAGTAAATCTATTAAAAGAACAAATACTGCCAGGCATGGTGGTACATGCCCGTAATCCCAGCAACTTTTTTTTTTAATATTTTTTTAAATTGTAGATGGACACAATATCTTTATTTATTTATTTATTTGTATGTGGTGCTAAGGCTCGAACCCAGTGCCTTATACATGTGAGGCAAGCGCTCAACCACAGCCCCTAATCCCAGCAACTTGAGAGGCTGAGACAGGAGGATCTCAAGTTCAAGGCCAGCCATAACAACTTAGCAAGACCCTAAGCAACTTAGTGAGATCTCATCTCAAAATAAAAAGGTCTGGGGATGTAGTTCAGTGGTAAAGTGCCCCTGGGTTCAATCTCTAGTACCAAAAAAAAAAAAAATTTTTTTTTTAAAGAACATGAAGTCAATAACAGGATGAGTTGTATGAAGATATAACTACATTGCATAAGTATGGATGCCTGGAAATGTAGGAGACAGCTCCAGATACGGAAATGCATGGTGGGATGGGAGTTTTAGGCAGTTTACTCTGGAAACCAGGGTCAAGGCCAGATCATTGAGGGAGATCTGTGAGGAGGCTGGGACAACAGTCTAGGAGAAAGCAGACAGAGCCCCATTACAGCAGGTGGCGACAGGTCTGTCATATGTTTCAAAGACTTTTGCCACTGACTAAATGATGAGGCAGGAATTAGGAAAAGAATCTCAGGGACCTGGGAGCAAGAGAGCTGGTGCTTCCCAAGTAGAGAGGAGGGAGGGAGGTGTATGTGTGAGGGAGGGGTGGGTAGGGGTGCCTGGGGAAGGTCAGAAATTGGAGGATCACATTCACAGACTGGGCCCCCAAGCTGAGTCTATAACCCAAAAGCCCAGACTAAAATAAGACTCATTCAGGGAACTGAAAAGTTTCTTGGTTATCTTTAAGGTTGATCAGTCATCAGTGAGGGACGAGAAATGACAGAGAACAAGGAAAGAGACAGAGCAGGGAGCTAAACTTAGCTATAACGAACAAGAGTGGCTGCCATCACGTGTGGTTCCTCTATGCAAATCAGAAAAGGGTGGCCCTAGCTCTGGGCCATAGGCATACCCTGAGCTAGACCACCCTGCAACCCTCCCACCACTGATCTGTCCTCCTTCTTATCCTGCGGATACTCCCTCTTATGGGCTGGTGGGGAGTCTGGGGGAGAGCCCCTCTCACCTTTCAGGATGGCCTGCAGCGAGGCCACCTCCTCTTGACACTGCCGCTGCACTGCAGCCACAGCCTCGGCTTTGGTGCTTTCGCTCACCTCCGCCACCGCCTTCATGGTCTCCATTTCTGCCAGGGCGCCTGCCAGCTCAGCCCGAAGCCGGCTGAGCTCACCTGACTCGGTCTCAACCTTTACACCTTCAAGGGACTGGGGGTCCATGGCTGTGGAGGACAGGAATCAGTCTCTATGCCCATTACTTCACGAATCCCCAACACTCCGGGCCACCCACCAAATCTGCAAGTCCTTCAACTCGGTATTGCAGCGCCACCTTCAACCGGGCCCCGCCCCACTCACCTGGCCCCGCCCCACTCACCTGGTCCCCGCCCCTTCCTCGCCTCTCTCCCACTTCATTCTGCCTGGCGATGCCTACAGCCGGTCCTCGGTTCACCCAATCTCCCCTTCCCTTCAACGCGACCTCCACAGTGGCCCCGCCCCTTCCTCACTGCGCCCCGCCTCTCACCTGCCACTGGCCCTCCCCTCGAGCCACCAGGCCCCGCCCCTTGCGCCGGTGGCTCAAGGCCCCGCCCCATTTCCCGACGGCGTGGCCCCGCCCCTTTCTCCAGCCTCCCCTCTCCTCCCCCCACCCCCCGGCGGCCGAGCTCGGCTCCGCCTCGGGCTCCAGCGCCCCCTGCGTGCACGAACGCTCCCCGACGTACCGGCCCCCGGCCGCAGCAGCCGCCCGTCCTCGCTCGCGGCCGCCGGCGCAGCTGCCGCCATTACCTCAGTGCAAACGGCGGATTCCCGCACTCCCTGGTGACGGCGCTGGCCGCTTCCGGGTCCTCTCGGCTGTTTCCGGATCCGCTCGGCTGTTTCCGGATCGGCCCCGTACCCGCGGCCCAGGCCGGAGGTGAAGGGGATTGCCGAGCGTCGGCCGAAGATTCCCGAGTGGACACCGGCTGTGGCTCCGGGTCCCGCCCCTCTCCTGGGCCGCGCGGGTCCTGAGGACCCTGCCCTTCCAACTGCACAGAGGTCCTTCCCCGGCGTCTCTCCGCGACCTTGGAAGTTCTGCTGCTCTTCCACCTCGGGGACGCCGGCCGGCCTCGCCCGGGAGGACGAAGCGCTGTCTGGCTCCTGTCGCGCTGCTCCCGGAGTCAACCCTGGATGGCCCCCGCCGCCCTTCGCCGCAGCCTGGCTCACGTTACAGCGAGCGGTGGCCCGGCCCTCCCTGCTCCGCCGCCCTGGAGCGTCCCTCGGGCCAGGGTTGGGTCGGCTTCATTTTTCTGGGCGCCTCCGAGTCCCCACGTAGTCAAGCGTAGAAGTGCGAAACTTCCACGTCCCCACCCCCATTTTGAAGCCGCTTCCTGCTAATCCCCTTCTCCCCCTCCCGGTGCCTCTCAAATCCTTCCTCTGGCGCAGCCTGGGTCAAGCTCTCCTTATCTGTGACCTCTCCCCTTGGAGAGTGCAGGCACTTCCAACTCAAGCCCAGAGCCTTGCTTCTCCTTCCCACAAACCTGTTTTGTTTTGTTTTTGTTTAAACTGGGGATTGAACCTAGGGACACGTTAGTATTAACTTACATCCTCAGTCCTTTTTCAATCTTTGAGACAGGGTCTCTGTAAGTTGCTTTATTGGTCTCAAACTTGTGATCCTCCTGCCTCAGCCTACCTTGTCACTGGGATTACAGTTGTGTGACACCGCACCGGGCCCAAACCTGTTTTCTCCTTCTAAAAGAAGCTTCAGGAACTTGGAAGTCCTGTAAACTCTACCTCCAGTGTACTCAGTATTCTAGAGTGCAGCCTCCATGTGGATGGCCACTGTAGTTCATTGTCAAAGCTGCTTGTGCCATCTTTGTAAAATTTCAATCGTGTCTCATTCCTGCCTTCTAGTAATCTAGCTTGGATGGGCAAAGGACAAGAACAGACATTTCACTGATGTCACAAGTGGCAGATATTCTCATGAAAAGATGTTCAACACCATTAGCCTAGGAAAATGCAAATTGAAGCCTCAAGGAGACAGCACTGCAGGCCTCCGGGAATGGCTAAATAAAAGCAATAACACCAATTGCTGCTGATCATGAGGAGAAAACAGTGTTTCTCATACATTGCTGATAGGAAAGTGAAATGGTGCAACCACTGGGGAAAGAATATGGCAGTTGCTGATCTCGGTAAATGCACTCACTTGAACTCACCAAGTTTACCCATCTCAGATCTCCACTCAAATGCCACTTCTTCCGTGAGGCCTTCCTTTACCTTGTCTAAAGTAGCCATCTCACTGGGGGACAGTTATAAACGCCTGTAATCCCAAAGATTCGGGAGGCTGAGGCAGAAGGATTGCCAGTTCAAAGCCAGCCTCTGCAACCTATGGAGGCCCTGTCTCTAGTTAAAGTATAAAAAAAGGGCTGGGCATGTGGCTCAGTGGTTAAGCGTCCCTGGGTTCAATCCCTGGTACCAAGAAAGAAAGAAACTAAGAAGCCACCTCTGTCACCTGGCTACTATATGGTGAGCACTTCTCACCACCCGCAATTATTTACTGGTTAACTTGTTTATTACCATTCTCCTTATCCTTCCCTGCCGCGTCCGGCCAAGGGAGCCGAGTCCGGCGAGGGACGGCGAGGTTAAAAGACACACAGGACACCAAGGTTCTTCATCCAGGAGTCAATAATCTTTATTGCTAACACACCTTTTTTTATACCCCAAGCAGCAGAAGTGGAAAACTACCCAAAAGCAGGAGGGAGGGGGGAGAAATTTAGTTTCAACATCTATTATTGTCAGGTACCGAAACCTCCCTTAACAATAAGTCCATCAGACCAGAAAAGGTCAAGGCATTCCCGTGGGATACATATGTCTCAGACGGACAAGCAGGAACAGAAAAACCGCAAGTTCGCCATGGCCTTGTGAGCTGGCCACACTGGCATGCAGAACAAACTAGTGGAGGTAGGGCTCCAGGGGCCAAGGTGGACCTGTTGCCAACAAGTCCCCCTCTTTTGTTTTTTGCATGCCAGTGGGAATCAAGTAGCCCCTGTCTTAGGTCGTTCACAGCCCTTGCGATGCTTACCCGTCTCTGGGAAGGCCCCGATTCCCTGGCTTAGGTCGCACAGCAAGCGTGAAAGTTGCCCGTCACTGGGTACTACAAGATCAGCTCAAGGTGTTATGACCTATCAAGACATTATTGCGGTGAACGCTTAACCGTCTCCACCTACGGGACCCACGACCGTCACCGCCGAATGGCAGATGTGATTGGACCGAGAGATTAGACAGCAAAGATCCTAGTACAGGAAGGCAAGAGGGAGAGGTATGCATAGAGAAAAGATATGGCAGGAGTTCTTCTTTTAAGGAGGACACTCATCTTCGGATCCGTCTGAAGTATATCTCAGAGGGGCGATCATCTATCTTCAAGCGTTGATAGTGAACCTGTATCGGCTTAGAGGCTAAGATATTAATTTGATCCTTAATGAATTGTACTATCTTATTTACAATGCAGGGTCCTATTGCCACTACTAGAAGGAGGCCTAACAATGGTCCCAATAAGGGAAGAAGATAAGGCAAAAATCCATTAAGTCCAGTCCAGAGAGGGTTCTCAAATAATTCCCTCCTCCTTTTTTCTAGGTCTTCTTGGAGTTGTTTAATTTTTGTGCGAACTATGCCAGACTTGTTAGCATAAAAACAGCACCTCTCCCCAAGGGCTAAACAAATTCCCCCTTGATTGGCAGTAAGCAAGTCTAAACCCCGCCTGTTCTGAAGAACTACTTCTGCTAGGGAGTCTATCTGGTCTTGTAAGTCTTTAATGGTTCCCGACAGGGTTTGCACATCATCTATAAGCTGTTGAGATAGGCGGCGGTAAGAATGTATAGCCGTACCCAATCCTGCCATGCCTGTACCCACAGCAGCGGTTATTCCAAGGCCAACAAGGAGTGGTAAGGCCTGAACAGCTCTCTTGTGTCTTCTAACTAAGATGTCTAGGCTAGGAATGGGTAGGGGTTCATCTCCTGAGATAATTGTGATATCAGGAAGCAGTAATGCCAGAACGCAACCACCAGTCCAATTTGCTGGGAGCCTGGGAAAAGCTAAATTTTCACCACACATAAAGACTGTACCATTAGGGGGACAAATGGGCGGAGTAGGTGAGGAGTTATTCTTTACTAATGAGCAGTTTCCAAAGGAAGAGACTCCAACATCAACATCATAGGTATTATTTTGCATCATGCCTAGAAGGCATGACATAAAACCACCTAGAGGCTGCACCTTAAAGGGTAGCCCAGATTGACATGTGTTGTCATCATCAATGGTATAATTGATGGGAACCGCCAATGGCATGACTGCACCTGCCATCATGCAGAGCCAGCAATCACCAGCAAGGGTAGGGTTGGAACTGTTAAGTAAAGAAAAGGTAGTTTCTAGGATATCTAATGTATTGGCATCTAAATCAGGAAACTGGGATTTGGGCAATATCAAGGGGTGGTATGTAGGCTTAGGGATCTCCGGCTTTAAAAGCTTAATCACCTGAAGGTGTTTGATAGCATCAGTGGGTCCCCCTCCGTCAGAGATTCGATAGGGGCCTGCATGGGCCAGCAGGAAGGTTTACCCACGACGCCCTCACATCCCGCCTCCGTTAACCGAGTCGTGATGCCCTCCCCTCCCCGGTCACCAAGAAAAGGAATATAATTATAAGTGGTCCCCCATTCTCCACGGGTGTTAGTTAGGATGGCCTCAAAATACTGTTTTCCTTGATTATTAACACAAATTGAGGCCGATGTATAACAGGAGATGTGCATTGCCGGGGTGTAATGACAAGTGGTGGAACAGCTTCCAAGAGTCTCGGTCGGATTAGGGACAACAAGTCCGGGCTTATTAACACATACCCATTTTGGTTGCTTAAATCCTCCGATGTTTTCATTGAGTTCAGCCGCCATGTAGGCTACTTTAGTCCCACAATCAATGCTCTAGATATAACCAGAGGGGGCCGAGTGCCGGGGCCCTCCCTTACACTCACAAGGGGCTCCAAAAAGATATTCATGAATATTCCCAGGTGGGGGGTCAAGCCCTCCTTCAGCAAACCTGTCCAGAAGGAATGCCACAAGCGGGGTCCAGTTCATGAGGTGTGTCTCGGCACTCACTTGAAGGGGTGAGAACAACAGCGGCAGGATCAGCCATCTTGGGAACTTCATTTTGTCTTGAATTTTCATTCACCGGTTTGGTGCAGCGCTCCGGGATCCAAATGGGCTTCTCAGTTCCTGGGGGAAAAACACATACAGCTCCCCTCACTCTAGCTAAGAGTGGAGCCGGGGGTTGCCACTTTCCGGTGGATAAATCTTTCCACCTTATTTGAGCATCTTGTACAGTGGGAGGGGAAAAGTGGCGTTGTGCAGCTGTGTGCCCTCCAGTGTCAGTGAGTAAAAAATTTAAAGTAAATAGGGTTATGCTTAGAAGTGCTTGTGGTCCCTGACAATTCCGGTATATCTCCCCCTCTTTTGTTTTTTGTAAATAAGTTTTTAAATGTTGATGGGCTCGTTCCACGATAGCTTGTCCCTGTGGATTATAAGGGATTCCAGTCTTATGATTAATTTCCCATTGGGTGCAAAACCATTGAACTGCCTGGCTTACATATGCGGGACCATTATCGGTTTTGAGGCATCGTGGGGTGCCCATGGAGGAAAAGGCTTTTAGAAGATGACTGATTACATCCTTAGCCTTCTCTCCAGTATGTAAGGTGGCAAAAATGAAGCCAGAATATGTGTCAGTGGAAACATGTATAAAGGAGAGCTTACCAAAGCTAGGGAAGTGTGTAACATCAGTTTGCCAGACATCATTAGGTTGTAGTCCTCTTGGATTAACCCCAAGGGAAGGAGAATGAATAAATGGTGCACAGGTTGGACATAATGAGACAATCTGTAAAGCTTGGTCTCGTGAACATCCTGTGTGGAAGCGTAAAGACTGTGCATTTAAATGAAATTTGTTATGGAATTGTAAGGCCTTATCATATTTGGTCGTCACACAGGAAAGGCCGACAGCATGAGTAGCAGCGTCTGCTTTTGCGTTGCCCTCTGACAAAGGTCCAGGGAGCCCTGAATGGCTTCGGATGTGGCCGATGTATAGAGGATCTCGTCTAGCCCAAATGAGAAGCTGAACTACCTGTAGTTGTTCTGTGATGGTGGATTGCTTTCCAATATATGATGCTGTTTCTATGACTAGAGTCAGATTGGCTACATACAAGCTGTCAGTATATACATTAAGAGGAATAGAACTATAGACTTTGAGAGCTATGATTAAAGCTTCAACTTCTGCCTTTTGGGCCGACTGACCTGACACAGGTTGTCGGAGAATTTGA